GAATGCTATATGAAAGGATGCTAAAATATCAGTAAAATAAATATCTCTGGTTTTACATCATTTAAACATACAGCAGTAAGAGGTTATTGGCAAATAATACAAATTTGCTAGTTTCAATCAGGATGTTGAGCACCTTTGCTCTGTATGACCAACTTCAATCAGGGAAAACAAGGTGGAAATTATTTGGATTATACAAATAAATGTTCACAGAAGACTTGACAAAGAGGGTTAAGAGACAGAATAAAAGTATTATGTCTTTAGTTTATGAAATATTTTTAATGTAAGGGGCCATGTTATTACTGGTTTGCATATATTCAAATTGATGTGCATTTGTGTCAATTCTATTCAGTTAAGCTTTTGAGATAAGGTCAGTTCTCATGCATATTCACCCAAGGTCAGACCTCAAGAACTGTTATTTTCTGAAGGTTTAGCCTACACATTGCCTGAATTTATTCTGTTTTCTCCAATGTAATCAACTTTTTTGGGTGTTTGTGATAACTAATTCAGTGTTATGTCTTTGTTTTGAAGAAATAGACAGTTGTATAGGTTTTCAGAAATTTATTTTTTCCTAGTATAGGTAGATTTTGTTTATTTGAAAATTAGCAAAAAAAATTACCATTTTTCAATTACATTGATGTCTATGTAATAGAATTTGTAGGTATTTACCATTCACACAAACATCATCTGAGTGAATTTCATTATAATTTGAATTATTTTTTTTATTTATTTGGGGGGAAAGGGTGACAGGGATTGAAATCAGGGCCACTCAACCACTGGGCCACATCCCCTGCCCACTTTTGTATTTTATTTAGAGACAGGATCTTTCTGAGTTGCTAAGTGCCTTGTTTTGCAGAGGGGGGCTTGAACTCATAATTCTCCTGCCTCAACCTCCCAAGCAGCTGGGATTATAGGCATGCACCACCATACCCAGTTTTGAATTGGTTCTTGAAATTCCACTTCAATCTTTTTTTTAGTGGAAGAAGTTAGGAAGTGAAGAAAAGCTACAATTGCTAGATTTTCCTTCATCTGGTAATTTGTATGATTCAGGTTACCTTAATTTGATGCACTTTAGGTGTCTGCTGAAATGTTGAGATATGGAGGAGTCCAAACCTTGTGCTGTGGCATTTGGAGGAGGCATCTTTGTAGCAGCTGGCCTCTGGGTTCCATCCCAACAACCTTACACCTGAGAGGGCTACTGTGGTGGCAGAAAAACTGTCAGCGATTGTAGCTATAGGCTTTATATCTCTGGACTTAGGCTGAGGTAGTGTGAACTCTAAACCAACAATCCAAACATGGCAATAATTTTTGGAATGTCCAGTTCCATCTCTTATACCTGTTTCTATTTGAAATGCCAGAAGTAGTGTGTATTTCTAGCACTGAAGCAAGACAGAAACGTCTTAGTAACTCAGAGTTACTTCTGTGTTTTAAGCTATTTGTGACTTTAAAGAGAAACAAAAGAAAACAAAACTGCCTACTTATAGCTCAAATTAGCTCTGTACTAAAGAAAATGAGAGCAATTAGAAGTGGAGCCTCCTCTCATCTTAACAGCCTTCCTAGTAGTACCTTTCAAATTGCATTAGAAAGAACTCATCCACATGTCTATTCTATCACTGTACTATGACTTTTAGAAAACTGTAATTTTCAATTATTTTTTAACTTTCTAAAACTTTCTTCACATGAAATCTTTAACATCTGTTCTACGTTTTTTTTTTTTTATGGGTATATGCAATTTCAGAGGATTCACAGACACTTCTTGCATGCACTCAGAGCTGATGCTAGTCAGGCTGAGAATGTTTAGGAAAGAAGTCTCAGTCAGTGGCCAATTTGCCTCTCAGTGAATGTTTGGCAATTTATAAAAGCATTTTTAATTGTTGCAGTTAGGGTTGAGGTGCTATTGGCATCTAGTCCATAGAAGTAAAAAATCCTGCTAAACATCCTATGTTGCAGAGAACAATCATCCATGGCAGAGAATTCTTTCACCTCTGTGCCTGGCAACAACCAATCTGATTTATGTTTCTATAGATACACATCCTCCAAAAGTTTCCTACAATGGAATTACATATGTGCTCTTTTATGCCTTGTTTAACTGAGCCAATTATTTTTGAGGTTTATGAATAAAATAGTACATGTGAGTAATTATTGTTTACAGTTGGATAATATATCATTTATGTGTATACAACACTGTGCATCCATTCATTTATTGATGGACATTTGTGTTGCTTCCACATTTTGACTATTGTGAGAAATGACTATTGTAAACATAGATGTATATGTATTTCTTTGTACACATGTTTAAAATTATTCAGGGTACACACCTAGAAGTAGAATTGTTATGAAGTAGGTGGTTCTGTGGTTAATACTTTGAGCAACTGCCAATCCGTTTTTTCTATGGTAGCTGAAACAGTTCACATTTTCACCAGCAATGTATAAAGGTTCCAATTTCTCCTCATCCTTGCCAACATTTGTTATTTTCTTTTGGTAAGTTTTGTTTGTTTGTTTGTTTTTTGATTGTCAGAGACCAGCTCCAACAGGGGGTCTCAGGAGACAAACGGATGGTGAGGAGTCCGAGAAAGGGGGGTGGAGAAACAACACAGACACCAAAGTGAAGGTGTTGATCCCAATCTTTACTTGTGAAGTTGATCATATATACTTTTCATTTTGGCAGGCTCACGGTACTTTGTGGTTACAAAACAGGAATCATTATTCAAAGAAACAAAATATTACGTAGCTAAAATTAGAATAGAAGAATGTATCTTGGCTTATGCATAAGCAAGCATTTGTACTTTCAGTTCGAGTTTTGCTTTGAGCTGTTTCTGCTTAGTTAACTTTTAATAATAGTTACAAATGTCCCAAACTATTGGCCTATACCTTGACTATTCTTTCTTGACTTACTGACTGGAACCGGTGCCATGGTTACGGCAAGTGGTTGACTTGTTATTAATTTTAATCAAACAAGAGTAAGAGCACAAACCATTGTGCACAGGAACAAGAACAAGTTGCCCAGTACTAAGCACTAATCTGTCTTCTTAACATTAATTTTTCTTCTCTAGATTTTAATTTAATTTCTCAAAAACTTCCTTGGCAGAAATACAGGGATTTTTTCATTAGACATTAACAATTTACACTCCACAGCTGAATTGCATTTAGAGCAAACAGATCTATTCTTTAGAAGTAGTTGCAGTAATTGGGAAAGTCATTTTTTTTCCCTTCATACTTAATGGTCATATGAGAAGTTGCAACTATGCTTATTAAAGGAACACAAAAACAAATCAGCCCATTCCCAGAAACATACTGCGCTCCTCCAGAGGATGGACGCCTTGCACCATCCACCTCAGTAGGGCCTTGCCATTGCCTGAGTCAGGGGAGGGGTGCAGCATTTGATAGTAATGGGGATTGAACCCAGGGATGCTCTATCACGGAGCTAAATCCCCAGCCCTTTTGATTCTGAGACAGAGTCTTACTAACTTGCCAAGATTAGCCACAAACTTGAAATTGTCCTGCAGTAGCTTCCTCAGTCACTGAGATTATAGACATGTCTGGCCTATAAGAACACTTTATATTTGTTGGATATGCAATTATTGTCAGATGAATGATTCACAAATATTTTCTCCTAATTCTATAGGTTATCTTTGCACGTTCCTTTTAATTTCTTTGATGTAGTAAAAAAAGTTTTTAATTTTGATGAAGTCCTATTTACCTATTTGCTCTTGTTGTTCATGCTTTAGGTATCATAGCTAAGAACCCTAGATCAAATCCAAGGTCTTAAAGAGTTCTACCTATTTTTTTCCCTAAGAATATTAAGATTTAAGCTTTTACACTGAAGTTGTTGATCTACTTTCAGTTAATTTCATTATATGCTGCAAAGCAAGGTCCAACTTCCTTCTTTCACATGTGAACACCTATTGTTGAGACAGCATTTGTTAAAAAGGCAGTTCTTTATTCATTGAATGGTCTTAGAAACCTTAGAAACCTTGTCAAAATGCTTCGGCCATAGATGAATGTGTTTATTTCTGGACATTCAGTTTTATTCCATTGACCTATGTGTTTGCCAGTACCAACTATTTTCATCACGATAGTTTTAGTGAACTGTAAAGTTGGGGGGGTGTTATTCCATTTCAGTCTTCCTTTTCAATGTCATTTTGTCTCACTGGGACCCCTCGGAACTTCATATGAATTTTAGGATCAGTTTTTTCCATTTATGTAAAAATGACTGCTAGGGTTTTTATAGGGACTGTACTGAATCTTTAGATTGCTTTGGATAGTATTGTGTAATATTATTATTATTATGTCTCAATAACATTCATTCTTTCAATTTATGAATATTGTGTGTTTCCATTTATTTAGGTATTTTTAATTTTTTTTAATAATGTTTTATAGTCTTCCAAGTACAAGACTTTTACTTCCTTGGTTAAATTTACTTCTAAGAATTTTATTATTTCTGATGATATTGTAGATGGAATTGACTAAAACAAAGAAACAATAAGGAAAAAAAACAGTTAAATATATTAGAAGACAAGACCACAACCATGAAATCCAACAAAAAACAACAGAAATTAGAATTTAACCTAAGAAGCATTAGTTAACTGGAATTTTCAAATACAGAATATAGAATAGTGCACACACACACACACACAAATATATATGTATGTGTATATATATATATATGTATATATATATAATTTTAGGAGATTAAAGAAAAGATTACAAATTTTAGCTCTGAAATAAAATATTTTAAGGAACACAGCATAGTTGAAAAGAACAAGGAAAAGGTCCCTATCCAAAAAACTAAAATAAAATAGAAAGCTTCTGCTATGTGTTTGGCTGACTCTTCTTTTACTATAACAAGAACAGGTGATACACCATGAGCATTTATTAATGCCAGATCCTTTACTAAAGGAGTTACATCTTTTAATCCTTATGGAAACTTGATGATATAAGTAGCATTATGATCTCAGTTTTCAGATGAAAAAATGGAGACAAAGAGATCATGAAGAACTTACCCAATATCACAAAGCTGGTACGTTGCTAAAGTCGGGGTTTAAATCTCAATCCCAGGATCTTGAGGTGCTAGAAGCAAAAATATTCTTTTAACATTAAATATATATATCAGTTCTTTACAGAAATACATATGTTTCTTTGTCAAATTTGGAAAATCTGAGATTTAACTTTTTCTAAAAACATAATTTTACTCTGCGAATATAAAACACTAGCTATATATGAGAGTCTTGTAACATTCGTTCCAGAAAAAAAAAAACGTAGAAAATATGGATTGCTTGCTAAATTTAACAGGGCAAATAATTCAAGCAGGAGAAATTCAAAGTAATTGAAACGTGACATATGACCTGGACCTTCATGGATGGAAATATTTTTGGATTTGAAGAAAGAGAAGAAAGAAAAAAATTACAGGCAGAAGGAATGGCACTTGATGTATTCAAGAGTCATGCCTAGTCCCTTATGCCTGCAGCATAGAATGCATAAAATACTGAGAGAAAAGTTTGGTCAGGAATAAAGGACAAAAAGGGGAAAAAAATGTGCTGATAACCTGATAACATGAGAAGTGGTTTGGTTTGAACTAATCTTGTGTGGCATTTATGCTAATCTTTAAATAAAATTAAATTATCAAGGGCTTTGAATAAGGCAATGACATAATCAGGAAGTATTTTAGAAGATGGCATCAATATACAGCACAGATTGAGCAAGCAGACCAGTTTGGAAGCAACTGCCATGGTTGAGAAAAGAGAAAGTTAAAGACTCTTCTAAGTCAATGGCTAAAAAAAATAGAACAGATTTTCAAATGTAGTGTAGATGGAACTCAAGCAAAATGGATTGGAAACAATCTATTAACTAAGGACTTTAAATTGAAGAAAATGAAGCCCTTGTTACATGACTTGAATAATCTATATAGTGACTGCCAGCATCTTTTTGTAGAGTTGCCATAAATTTGAGGGCACTGACTTCAAGAACATATTTGCATTGTCTTGACTTCTTTGTGCATATTAATTCTCAGCATCCTCTTGACTCATCACAAGTTGACTTATTATGAAATTAAAAATAGCCAGAGCCACCCTTTTAATATTCAACCCACCCCTACTGCAATTGGACTCTTTGAGTTTGGAAAACACTCACTCCTTTGGAACTTAGTTTCTCTTAAAAATTGCTGGAGATAGGTCTAACCTAGTCTCCAATTTATTCATTCCCTTTAAAAATGTTATCTGTACATATTGTCAAATAAATGTCATGATTATTTATGTCCCATGAACAAATAATTCCTTCAAGTGTTCATCATAAATAAGGCTCCAGCACTTCTTGATGTATGCTAAAGTGACTTTTAAGAATCTCAGCAGTTCTGCAATTCTGCTCCCTGCCTGCATAAGAGGGTGGCATGTCTTTCTTGCTCCTTGCACTGTGATCTTCCACGTCTAGTGAATCAGGAAGAAGGAAGCTGAGATATTTGGACTTTTTAACAAAACCCACTCCTGAAAGAGCAGCTCAGTCTTTCACCAAGATTGGTGTCCAGCCTTTGGATGGAGGAATTGTCAGACTAGAAGACTAGTTAATAGTGCATTTTGACTGAGATTCGGGTGAGGAATCCTGATGGCACATTATCTTTAGGCTTGCAAACCTGTTGCCTGTCACCTGCAGACTTTCTGAACATCATTCAAGAGAGACAATCTGTAAAGGAAGCAGAATTTTGCAGTTTCCCTGCCTGTTCCTGTAAGCCTGAGATGGCACCACAAACCAGAGAAGACAGCTACTAGCAACCATTCAACTATGTAACCCAGCTGCCCTCCGGGTTTACCAGGCCTGAGATTGACTAGTGACACAAATAAGACCATGTAGGGCTGGGGTTGTAGCTCAGTTGGTAAAGAGTTTGCCTTGCATGTGTGAGGCACTGGGTTCAAATCCTCAGCACCACATAAAAACAAATAGATAAAAGTATAGGTTTTGTGTCTGTCTACAACTAAAAATAAATAAATAAGACTGTGTAGACATCTTCATCTGTCCTTTAGACTGTTAGCAGTGTGGAAGGTCAAATTTTCAGGATCACCTCTGCCTTTAGGCACAGGCCTCCAAGCCTGCTTTCTCTGACCAGGCATGAGTCACCAACCCAATTTTTGTCACACAATTACACAATCAAGAAAAAACAAAACTAAAGATTGAAACAACTTTCTTAATGAAAGCATTTAAAAAAGCAGTGATCATTATTGAATAAATGGAAACAGAAAAGCGGTGTAGGAGACATTTACTGATGTAAGAGCATGACCACTTTTCACTATCACAGAAAATGCTCCTGTTCTGAAGTATCCTGTTGGCCTTCCTGAATGGCTTTCCTGACTGACCGTGCTCCTCCAGAAGGCCACTGCCTCTTGACATTTGGGGGGCAACAGTTAACTCCATCTGTCTACTCTCTTCCCTTCTTCAACTGAGAATCCTCTAAGTTTGTCTCATTTTTCTCAAACATCTTAGTTCTATTTGACAGATTTAACTGTTTGAGTTTTTTTTTTTTTTGCTAAGATTCATTCCCTTAAATCCAGAGTTAAAAATTCTAAACATTTGGATTTCTTAAATAATACAATTTCTCAGCCTCACCCCCTTTTACCTACCACGTACTGCCCCCACCTTCCGAAGTTCTGTTTGAGTTAATTGATGTAGGACTTAGGAATCTGAATTTCCAACAGTCATAGAGGGCTGACTCATGGGGACCAAGGTCACACCTTGAGAAATCGCCCAAGGGTCTCATTTTCCCTGAGAAGCATATCAAGGAATTAATTACTCCTTCTAAGAAGAAGAAAAAGTGAAACAGGCTCTTGACATTGGTTTAGGCAACAATATCTTTATATATGAACCTTAAAGCAACAGCAAGAAAAGCAAAAGTGGGCAAAATCACATCAAACAATTTTTTTTTCTTTTCTACAAAATCAAGGAAATAATCAATAAAGTGAAAGAAAAAAACTATAGAACAGGAGAATTTATTCTCCAAACATACATCTGATTAGAGGTTAATATTTAAAACTATAGAAGAAACTCAAAACAACTCAATAACAAGAAAACACAATTGCAAAATGGGCAAAGGACCTGAATAAATACGTCTCAAAAGAAGACTTACAAGTGACCAACAGGTATATTTTAAAATGTTTGAAATCTCTAGTCATCAAAGAAATTCAAATCAAAGCCATAAGGCTATAGCATTCCACACGTGTAATCTAACACCTGTCAGAATGATGGTTAATAAAAAGACAAAAGATAGCAAGCATTGGCAAGGATATAAAAGACAGCCCTTCTACACTGTTGGTAGGATTATAAATTGGTTCAGTCATTATAGAAAACAGTAGGAAGGTTCCTCAAAAAATGAAAAATAGAGCTACAACATGGCCCAGCAATCCCATCTCTAGGTATACATCTGAAGGAAATGAAATCAGTAGCATAAAAAGACAGCTACACTCCTGTGGTCATTGAAGAATTATTCACAATAGCCAAGATATGTTAAAGATGAAGAGAATGTGATATAATTTGATATACATTCAGCCTTTAAAAAAAATCTTATCTTTTGTGACAACATGGGTGAACTTGGAGTACATTGTGCTAAGTGAAATAAGACAGGAATATAAAACAAAATACTGCACGATCTCACTTACACATGGTATCTAAAACAAACTCATAGAAGCAGAAGAAGGGTTGCTTCCAGAGACAGTGGTAAGATAAAGAAATGTAAGTCAAAGGATACAAAGTTATGCAGAATAAATAAATTCTGGAGATCCCATGTACAACATTTCAACTGTAGTTAACAATATTATATTATAGGGTTAACATTTGCTAAGAGAGTAAATCTTAAGTGTTCTCACCAGACATACACAAAATGGTAATTATGTGAAGTGATGAATGTTTTAATTAACTTGATAATGATAATCATTTCATAATGTGTGTATAAAGATGAAGTTATACACTTAAAACATATAGAATTTTTATTAGTCAATTATTCCTCAATAAAGTTTACAAAAGGAGAGAACAGTTTTATCTTCAGAAATATTCCTGTTTGGGCTGGTAGAATATTTTTCCTTTTTAATTTTAATTTGGTTAATGTGAAAAATGGATCGTGATATTTAAAGCGCTCAAATGACTGTGGATACTTTAAGCTATCCAGTAAACCATGGAGAATGACTTTCTGTTTTGTTTTGTTAATTGACATAGAAGCTCACTTTAGAGTTATTGGAAACTTCTTCATGTCTTAAGAATTATCCCATTTGTTTTGTTGTGCCTCTGAAATACATTGTGGCAGAGGCAGGGTACACAGCAGTAAAGAACGTAATCCTTCTAGAGCTCCAGAGAGGCACAGCCTATACAACACAAGACTATGCTCAGAAGAGGGCATCTCGTCTTGTCACTGTGTGAAATCCATTGACTGGGCAAGTATGTGGGTTCAGAAAAGAGATTTTCCTATACCTTCCTTTAGTAGAACTATTCAAAATTGTAATTAAATTGTTTGTTATGTAAATGTTTTTATGACTAGCTCTTTTATACAATAAAAGGATTGTGAGGAATTCTGACTGTTTTTGCCTCATTCACCAGTGTGTCTAGCATGGGACATTACAGTAAACAACTTTAAACGTTGACTAAATGAATAAACGAAAAAGAAGGGATAGCTGCTTGTGACTGCTCAGCTAAGGATTAAAGATGTGGTGACTTTAAGATTGGGTCCACATTCCTATGTGGAGCATTAACATGCACAGAGCACACAGAAAAACCAGGATAGGAACTCTTCACAAGAGGACCTGGTCAGAGGCACTGCGTGTAGCACGTATCATTTTTATGCTTACTCTTACATAATTCTCAGCACATTATACCATGGGGTAATAAGATCTTTTTCATGAATGAAAGAAAGCACACTAATGATGTAGAAGGAAAGGTCAGTTACACTCTAGGATTATAATTGTGTCTGCAAATACCAACTCAAAATTCTAGAAGCATTATGGAATGGTGATGTATCAGCTAGTTTTTTACATAACAAGTCACCCCAAAATTTAATGACTTGGAAAATTAGATTATTTTGCACATGTTTCTGAAAGCTAGCAGAAAGCTCTGCCGGGCAATTCTGCTCTGGACGAGGCCTGGCAGATCTTACGCAGGTTTTACTCAGCTGGGGGGCCAGTTTAGGGTTGACTGACTGTTGCCAGGTATCTTGGTTTCCACCATGTGTTGCTCTTCCTCCAGCAGACTAGCCAGGGCTCATTCACTTGGTAACAGGGTTCCAAAAACAGAAAGAGAACAAATGCAATGAAAAAGTACTTGTCCACTTGCTAAGTATCACATCCCTCCCACTAGCCAAAAAAAAAAAAATCAAATTATCAAGCTCAGAGTCATTGCAGGACCAGGGATGTTTAAACAAATCGGGGTCATTATTGTCCTTGATCCACTACAAGAAGTTATATCAAAAATAAAAATGTGCCTTGTTGTTATTCACTAGGTCAGTGATAAAGCTACCATATGTCTGGATTTTTTCAGTATGTTTTAGTTTCACAAATTTTAGTTTCTGTGACTCTGCTGTATTAAATGCATTGCATTAATTTCACACATTTACTTGAAGGTGTGAACTAAAGTTCTCTGAAGAAACTGCATCAGTATTAATGATCCTACAGACTACTTGACCCTGGCTGACTACAGCATCCTGATTATGGAAAGATAGAGCCAAAATTATCTTGATCTATGATAGGGCCTTTAATAGCCAATTACCTTAACTTTTGTATCTGATCTAACATTCTCGTCACTAATAAATTTCCCCAAATGTTTCATGAAGCCTAGCAGACTTCTAGTTTCCTCTAACCCTAAAGCTAAGAATAATGTAAGGTGACATTTGAACCTATGGAAGACATTTCTCCACCGTGTAAGGTCCCACTAACGTAAACGGTGAGTATATTGATTTGTAAGTTTGTTTTGTTCGGTGATTATAAAAGTTCAAGTAACTTCTTTCATGGCGAAACCTGAAATTTCAGGATAACTTGAATTCATGTTCCTGAGGCTATGGTCATAGAATAAACTCTTTTCTTATTTCCTTAAAGCAGAGTTGTTATTTTACATCAAAAAAAGGTAAATCTGAAAATAAAAATTAGCATTTTTTCAGTTTAATTCTTTATATTCAGTTTGAGAAATGTTACTACAGTTATTGTCCACTCTTCATAGATGTATTTCTGACTAACCACCATCAGTATTAACAGGGTACTTCATTATGGAGGGCACGAGGGAGGAACAGACCATGTCATTGCATACTCCTTCTCAGGCCACATTGATAAGGAGAATGTGTTAATCCAATTAGCAACTAATACCTTTAAGACACAAAAGCCATAATCCTTTTCATCAGCTTTTGGGTTCTTATGTTCAGGGTTATAACCACTAGTCCTCTGAGACTGCCTGTAATAGCTCCTTCTCAGTATCACACAGTCTTTTTCAGATATTTCTACTTTTAAAGTGTTCTACTAAATTGGATTATATTTTTAATTTTTTCTTTTTCTTCTTTTTTCTTCTCTCTCTCTCTCTCTCTCTCTCTCTCTGTTTCTCTCTGTCTCTCTCTCTCTCTGTTTCATTATTTTTCTTCCCAAACTTCAACTCATTTAACTTCAACTTTTCTTGAACCTTTATACTATGTTTTAGTGAATTTTTAAGACAGTCACAAATAGACCAAAAAATGTTTTTTGTGCCTTTTTACCTGGAAGAATAGATAGCTATAGAAGCAGAGAACACCTCATTAAAAATGATTCTATCCAGGGCTTTCTACAAATTAAGAAACCATTAGAAAAATTACAGGCCAGGTGCAGTACCTATAATTCAATGATTGGGAGGCTGAGGCAGAAGGATGGCAAGTTCGTGGCCAATCTTACCTACTGATTTTGAAACAGACACAGGAACTGAATCCCAATTCCTCATCTTGAATTTGGTCATTTATCTAATATATCTTTTGTTGTAGAAAGAGAACTTTCCCTTTATTACTATATGTTGAATGCTAGGAGTGAAAGTCTATAGATGAATGGATTTTTAGAACTAAAGGAATGCTAATAGAATGTATGCATTGTGCTGCAATAGATTTGTATTTTATTAGGCAATATATCAATAAACCAGTATTTTCTTAGTGTTTTAGTTGAAATAAAAGGAGTACTAAGGAAAAAAAGTGGTATGTAAAATTGTAATGAATGCAAAGACTTTCAAATTGTTACTGAAACCAAAAACAAAGCTTACCCAACTGATGAAATATGTAGAAGTAAAGTTATTAGCACTTAAAATTCTCTAATGATCATCTGTGCCTGTAATAGCTCCTTCTCAGTATCCTGATCACTCTACAGTATTTTTGTTTATCATTGAATCATTTGGCTTTTTTCATTTGCAGTCAATCATAGGAAAAGGGTTCTGTTTAACCTCTACTCATGCTCAGTGCCCCAGAAGAGACTTTAATAGTCTATATCTTTTGCTTCTTTGCTTTTTACTTTGTTATATAATCATTTTGTATAGCCTAAACCTCAGGACCGAGAGTTTTCCCAAAGATTATTTTAAAACACCATTTTCCATTTTAAACCAGCACTTTAAAGAAAAAGTCCTAGTTTATGTTGATGACCCTAAAAATAACACTCCTCCAAGAAGGAAAAACAAGTAATCAAAATGCATAGCTGCCCTATTTTTTCCAGAGTTAGTGGAAGTCAGAATTCTAAATATAATTGTTTCAAATACCTACTTCTGAAAAATGGCAAATAATAAGCTCCCGACCCCCATAAACTGATGACAATTATTGATTCCTAGGCAATAAAAGACAAACAGAACTTCTCCCTCTGAACACACACACCAGTATTTACACAGAAGCACAGGAGTCTCCACAACACACTTAGATCTAAGTGAGAACTTTCACCTGGAGGTGAAAGGAAGTAGCAAGGAGGCTGCTGGTCTCTACATACATAGTGGAAAGCTTACAGCAGCCCCATTTGTAGAGAAGATAAATATTGAAAGTCATGTTTGTAATATGCTATTCTGGGAGAAAAAATTAGAAAGAAACATTAGCCCCACCACCATCCCCTTCCTTAAACCAGTGCACTCTGGGAGGGGGATAGATTTCACACACACTAGTTGTTCATGTAAATGAACTGCCCACATGGGGACACTGCCTAGCAGTGGGGTCTCTGAACCCCACCCACATCACCTTTGTCTCTGAAGCTGAAGACAAGACCTGAGGAGTGCAGAAAGCACCTGCTGCAGTGGAAATGGGGAGGGCCTCAAGAATAAAAGCTGGGACAGTGGCTCAGTGGTAGAGCACTTGCCTAGCATGTGTGAGACACTGGGTTAGATTCTCAGCACCACATAAAAATAAATAAGATAAAGGTCATTGACAATGAAAACAATATTAAAAAAAGAAGGAAGGAAGGAAGGAAGGAAGGAAGAAAGGAAGGAAGGAAGGAAGAAGAAAAGAAAAGAAAAGAAGGCTGGGCACCATTACTGGGATACAGAAATCCCACTGCTACATGAAATTCCTAACCACAGACTAACCCTCAAGGGTGGGGGGGCGGGGGGGAGTCTAAATGGAAAGTCTAAGTGGGAAGCCTAATGCTCCTCTCCTCCTTATGTAGACCCCTCAGGCTGATCCTGAGAAGGGAGGATAGGGCCTGTGATTTACCCTGATATTTCCAGCTTCAGCAGAGAGTGATGCAAAGGAAAGGGACTGATGCACAGGGATTCAGTGTTCAGGACAGAGGGTGAGGTTCCCGCAAGTTTCTTTCTGTACTACCACAGGATTTCTGGAAGGAATACGAAAGCTTTCAATATAGGAAACATTCAATCTGGGGGAAAAAAAAGACCTTGTTGTAGAGTCTGAAGATTTTTTTGACAAGTATCCCAAAAGCAATATTTAAAACTAGAGTTTATTTCTATTGTTCATTAGTAAATTGGGAAAATGATATCTATGTATTATCAAATGACATTAAGGAAAAGCCCTTTGAAATGTATGTATGTAAGATATAGTCATCCTCTTTCTCTGCCTTTTACTGGTTTTGAGTACATTATTCCACCTTTTTCTCCTCTCCTACTATACCAATTATACTTACTTTTTGTTTGGTGTTTAGTATTTGCCCCAGAATTCCCAGTGTGTTAAATACTATAATAATTCCTCCTTTTATACCACATCACAGGCAGTAATATACCTATATACCTCATATCAAAGTATTCCAGTTCCTTCCTTCTGTCCCTAAGAAATCGTAGTTACTCATTTTAGTTATTTATACCCTACCATCATCATCATTAGGTGGTTACTTTTAAAAGTATTCTTTTGGATAAATTAAGAATTAAAAATAAAATTAATCTTTCAGATAAATGATGAATTGAAAAAATAAATAAATTAAAAGAATAAATTGAAAAATTATTTATTCTTTCTGACACTCTTCCTTTTTTAAATGTATATCTCAAGTTTCTAAACTATATCATCTTTGTCCTCCCTGAAGAACTACTCTTAACATTGCCTGCCGTAAAAGTTGACTAGTACTGGTATCTCCTCTTTTTTTTTAATTTATGAGAAAATTTATTTTTCTTTCTCTTTTGAAGGATGACTTTATTTGAGAGAGACCTCCAGACTGATCAATTCTTTTCTTTCAGTGTTTCTTCACTCCATTGTCTTCTCGCTTGCATGGTTTCTGATGAGAAGAACACTGTGATTCTCACCCTTGGTCCTCATGTGGCATCTGTCAAGAATTTCTTGCTGTTTTTTTTTTTTTCTGCTGTTTGAATGTAATATGTCTGCATCTAGTGTTTGGATATTAAATGATGCTTGATTCTCTTTAAGCTTCCTGAATCTTGTGGGTTTTATTTCATTGAGTTTTTCTTTTTCTTTTTTTTAATGTCTGTCTTTAATTTTGGAAAACCTAAAATGATTATTTTTTTGAAATATTTTTTCTAAGTCTTTTCTTCCCATTCTGATATTCCAATTGCATGCATGCCAAAGCTCTTGGAAGAATAGATAGCTACAGAAGCAATTGTCCCATAGCTCTTGGATGCTGGTTTTGTTTGTTCTCTCTCTCTCTCTCTCTCTCTCTCTCTCTCTCTCTCTCT